GCAATTGTTTTGGATTGAACTCACTGCTTCGTCATGACGTATGAGGGATTTCAGCCATTTTTCAAAAGAATGAACACTTGCATATTAGGAACACTTGGATTGTCGGCCTTCAAAAAATAGAGCGTAACTTTTGCATACGGCGTCCGTTTTGGGCCCATAAGTACTTTTCGGAAATGTAGCGACCGTTTTGGAATAAAATCACCACTTTTTGGTGATGTGTGAGGGATTTCGGCCATTTTTCGAAGAATGAATACTGCATATTTGGAACGCTTGGATTGTCGACGTTCGAAGAATTGAGCGTAACTTTTCCATACGACGTTCGTTTTGGGCCCATAAGTACTTTTCAGAAGTGTAGGGACCGTTTTCGATTGAACTCATTGCTTCATCATGATGTATGAGGGATTTTAGCCATTTTTCGAAAGAATGAGCACTTGCATATTTGGAACGCTTGGATAGTCGGCATACGAAGAATTGAGCGTAACTTTCGCACACGGTGTCCGTTTTGGGCCCATAAATACTTTTTGGAAATGTAGCGACCGTTTTGGATTGAACGCACTGCTTCATCGTGAGTATGAGGGATTTCGGCCATTTTTCGAAAGAATGAGCACTTGCATATTTGGAACGCTTGGATAGTCGGCATACGAAGAATTGAGTGTAACTTTTGCCCACGATGACCATTTTGGGCCAATAAGCACTTTTCGAAAATGTAGCGACCGTTTTGGATTGAACGCACTGCTTCATCGTGAGTATGAGGGATTTCAGCCATTTTTCGAAAGAATGAGCACATGCATATTTGGAACGCTTGGATAGTTGGTGTACGAAGAATTGAGCGTAACATTTCCACACAATGTCCGTTTTGAGCCCTTCAATACTTTTCGAAAATGTAGCGACCATTTTGGATTGAACTCATCGCTTCATCGTGACATAGGAGGGATTTTGGCCATTTTTCGAAAGAATGTGCACTTGCATATTTGGAACGCTTGGATTGTCAGAGTTTGAAGAATTGAGCGTAACTTTTACATACAGCGTCCATTTTGGGCCCATAAGAACGTTTCTGAAATGTAGCGACCATTTTGGATTGAACTCATCGCTTCATCGTGACGTATGAGGGATTTCAGCCATTTTTCGAAAAATGAGCACTTGCATATTTAGAACGCTTGGATAGTCAGCGTACGAATAATTGAGCGTGACTTTTGGACAAGATGACCGTTTTGGGTCCATAAGCACTTTTCGAAAATGTAGCGACCGTTTTGGATTGAACTCACCACTTCATCATGATGTTTGAGGGCTTTCAGCCATTTTTCAAAAGAATGAATACTTGCATAATTGGAACGCTTGGATTGTCGGCGTTCGAAGAACTTAGCATAAGTTTTGCGTACGACTCCGTTTTGGGCCCACATGTACTTTTCGAAAATGTAGCGATCGTTTTAGATTGAACTCACCGCTTTGTCTTGACGTATGAGGGTTTTTGACCATTTTCGAAAGAATGAGCACTTGAATCTTTGGAACGCTCGAATAGTCGGCATACGAAGATTTGAGCGTAACATTTGCACACGATGTCCGTTTTGGGCCCATAAGTACTTTTCAGAAATGTAACAACCGTTTTGGAATGAATTCACCACTTCGTCATGACGTTTGAGGCATTTCGGCCAATTTTTGAAAGAATGAGTGCTTGCATAATTGGAAAGCTTGGATTGTCGGCATTCGAAGAATTGAGCATAACGTTTGCACACAATGTCCGTTTTGCGCCCACAAGTACTTTTTGGAAAATGTAGCGACCGTTTTGGATTAAACTCACCTCTTCATCGTGACGTATGAGGGATTTTGGCCATTTTTCGAAAGAATGAGCACTTGCATATTTGAAACGCTTGGATAGTCGGCGTACGAAGAATTGAGCGTAACCTTTGCCCACGATGTCCGTTTTAGGCCCATAAGTACTTTTCGAAAACGTAGCGACCATTTTGGATTGAACTCACCGCTTCATCGTGACGTAGGAGGGATTTTGGCCATTTTTCAAAAGAATGAGCACTTACATATTTGGAAGGCTTGGATTGTTGACGTTCGAAGAATTGAGCGTAACTTTTGCGTACGGCGTCCATTTTGGGCCCATAAGAATGTTTCGGAAATGTAGCGACCATTTTGGATTGAACTCACAACTTCATCGTGATGTGTGAGGAATTTTGGCTATTTTTCGAAAGAATGAGCACTTACATATTTGGAACGCTTGGATTGTCGTAGTTTGAAGAATTGAGTGTAACTTTTGCATACGGTATCCGTTTTAGTCCTCTAAGTACTTTTCAGAAATGTGCCGACCATTTTGGTTTGAACTCACCACTTCGTCGTGACGTATGAGGGATTTCGGCCATTTTTCGATAGAATGAGCACTTACATATTTGGAACGCTTGGAAAGTTGGCGTATGAAGAATTGAGGGTAACTTTTGTATATGGTGTTCGTTTTGGGCCCATAAGTACTTTTTGGAAATATAGCGACCGTTTTGGATTGAACTCATCGCTTCGTCATGACGTATGAGAGATTTCAGCAATTTTTTAAAAGAATGAGCACTTGCAAATTTGGAACGCTTGGATTGTCGGCGTCCGAAGAAATGAGCGTAACTTTTGCGTACTGCGTCCGTTTTGGGCCCATAAGTACTTTTCGAAAATGTAGCGACCGAACTCACCACTTCGTAGTGACGTATGAGGGATTTTAGCCATTTTTCGAAAGAATGAGCACTTACATATTTGGAACGCTTGGATAGTCGGCGTACGAAGAATTGAGCGTGACTTTTACACACGATGTCCGTTTTGGATCCATAAGAACTTTTCGAAAATGTAGCGACTGTTTTGGATTGAACTCACTACTTCGTCGTGACGTTTGAGGGCTTTTGGCCATTTTTTAAAAGAATGAACACTTGCATATTTGGAACGCTTGGATTGTCGGCGTTTGAAGAATCGACATTTGAAGAATTGAGCGTAAGTTTTGCATACGATGTCCATTTTGGCCCCACAAGTACTTTTCGGAAATATAGCGACCATTTTGGATTGAACTCACGGCTTCATCATGACATATAAGGGTTTTCGACCATTTTTCGAAAGAATGAGCACTTAAATATTTGGAACGCTTTGATAGTCGGCATACGAAGATTTGATCATAACTTTTGAACACGATGTCCGTTTTGGGCCCATAAGTACTTTTCGGAAATGTAGCGACCATTTTGGATTGAACTAACCGCTTCGTTGTGACGTTTGAGGGATTTTGGCCATTTTTCGAAAGAATGAGCACTTGCATTTTTGGAATGCTTGGATTGTAAGAATTGAGTGTAACTTTTGTACAGACGTCCGTTTTGGGCCCACAAGTACTTTTCGAAAAATGTAGCGACCGTTTTGGATCGAACTCACCGCTTCATCGTGACGTATGAGGGATTTTGGCCATTTTTTGAAAGATGAGCACTCGCACATTTGGAACGCTTGTGTTGTCGGCGTTCGAAGAATTGAGCGTAACTTTTGCATATAGCGTCCGTTTTGGGCCCTTAAGTACTTTTTGGAAATGTAACGACCGTTTTGGATTGAACTCACTGCTTCATCGTGACGTATGAGGGATTTCGAACATTTTTCGATAGAATGAGCACTTGCATATTTGGAATGCTTGGATAGTCGGCGTACGAAGAATTGTGCATAACTTTTGCACATGGTGTCCGTTTTGGGCCCATAAGCACTTTTCGAAAAATGTAGCTACCGTTTTGGATTGAACTCACCGCTTCGTCGTGACGTATGAGGGATTTTGGCCATTTTTCAAAAGAATGAGCACTTGCATAATTGGAACGCTTGGATTGTCGGCGTTCGAAGAATTGAGCGTAACTTTTGCATACAACGTCCATTTTGGGCCTACAAGTACTTTTCGAAAATGTAGCGACCGTTTTGTATTGAACTCATCGCTTCGTCGTGATCTATGAGGGATTTCGGCCATTTTTCGAAAGAATGAGCACTTGCATATTTGGAACGCTTGAATAGTCGGCATACGAAGAATTGAGCGTAAGTTTTTCACACGATGACCGTTTTGGGTCCATAAGCACTTTTCGAAAATGTAGCGACTGTTTTGGATTGAACTCACCACTTCGTCGCGACGTATGCGGGATTTTGGCCATTTTTCAAAAGAATGAGCACTTGCATATTTGGAACACTTGGATAGTTGGCGTACGAAGAATTGAGCGTAACATTTGCACCCGATGTCCATTTTGGGCCAATAAGTACTTTTCAGAAATGTAGCAACCGTTTTGGGTTGAACTCACCGCTTCATCGTGACGTAGGAGGGATTTTGGCCATTTTTCGAAAGAATGAGCACTTGCATATTTGGAACGCTTGGATTGTTGGCGTTCGAAGAATTGAGCGTAACTTTTGCATACGACGTCCATTTTGGGCCCACAAGTACTTTTCGGAAATGTAGCGACCGTTTTGTATTGAACTCATCGCTTTGTCGTGACGTATGAGGGATTTCGGCCATTTTTCGAAAGAATGAGCACTTGCATATTTGGAACGCTTGGTGTCACACCCCCAAATTAATATTGATATCTATACACAACCTAGACATAGAATTTTACATATATATATATATATATATATATATATATATATA